GTCACACTAATACTGAATATCGATGAAGTATCGCCAGATTATTGTCACGACAATGCTGAACACCGTTGTGGTGTCGCCAGGTTATTGTCACACTAATACTGAATATCGGTGGCAGTATCGTCAGATTACTGTCACGACAATGCTGAATACCGTTGTGGTGTCGCCAGGTTATTGTCACACTAATACTGAATATCGGTGAAGTATCGCCAGATTATTGTCACGACAATGACGAATATCGGCGAAATATCCCAAGATTATTGTTCTTGGTGAACGAGATGATCAACACAGCAACAAGTGTGAAAATACTGATGAAGATTTTCAGTATTTCTCTTTATTGTTATTGAGTTGTTTTATTTTGGCATTAGTCAGGCAATTTAGCTCAGATGCAACTTATTCAAGTCAGGCATGTAAAGAAATAGCCAAAGGATACATTGGATGCAAAAACCGCTTGTCAAAGCTAATTTACAGACTTGCGCGGTCTACCTACAGGGGTTATTGTCGTTATCTCGCGAACACGGTTTCATTACCCCCGAAAAAGAATAGCCCCCTCACCGTTTCAAAGACAGGACAATTTTCTTTGTCTGTCCACCACTGAAGTTTATTTACGTGGAAAGTATTGAACGACTTGGTTTGGAGGATGAAAAGGGAATACTTAGCTTTTGAGAAACGTTTATCTTCAGACAACTGAACGGTAGTGTTTGAAGTGTACAAGTATCCTAACAAGTGTTATTACTTTCTTTCAAGAATATTCTTCAACAATACATTACTCTAATAGTTTAAAGAATACTGGTTATATGTATTGTTACTTCAGACAACTGAACGGTAGTGTTTGAAGTGTACAAGTATCCTAACAAGTGTTATTACTTTCTTTCATATCCTTATATGTAATTCGTTTCTTCAACAATACATTACTCTAATAGTTTAAAAGAATACTAGTTATATGTCTTGTTACTTCAGATACTGTTAAGAGTGTTAAATCTACATGGGCCAGGCGTGGCCACTGAGTGGCGAGTCGGGCTACGGATCATAAGGTCCAAGCCCGCGATATGCTGATTAATATGCTCTGCACTTTCAACTGTGGGTGCATTGTATAAGTGGCAATCAATCCCATTAATCGGTTAAGACTAGTCCTGTAGGCGGCTCGTGCTGTTAACTGGTTTCCCTCTCTCTGGTTAGTAGAACTAAATAATAAGAACAACTAAGCCTGAACCTAGGTATTTCTGACCTGACCGTTTAGCCTAAGTTTGGTATAAGACGCTATTTAGGTTGAAACCATTAAATACAGTACATCTTTGTGATATGTGTACTACATCATTAGTTCCACAAAACATCACGTTTCACACACACACACACACACACACAGGTGTGTATATATATATATGTGTGTGTGTGTGTGTGTGTGTGTGTTTATTACAATGTCAGTGAGTGATACATGGCTGAAAATATCACTAACAGCAAGGATACCCAATTGATGAATTAGTACATTCTAATCATTATAAGTAAAAAAACGGTATATTAAATTAGCTACATTCAGTACTGGATTTATTTTTAGTTATGATATTTGTACGTAACTTGCTTTGACAAGTAGGATTACATTAAATGTGGTTGAACCGATGGTTTTACAACAATATTATAACATGTTTCATATTAAACGTGAAATTGATTTATGTAACAATTTTTTTATAAAATTTAAGTTCATTGTTATTTCACACAAGTGAAGGAAGTACACAATAGAAAACCAAGTCAACTTTTAAAAGAAGCCGACAAACTTGCTTTGGCAGTATAATTTCATATAAGTAAGAAATTTACCACTCATATTTGTTCAGCATACGGGATGATCTAACACGAGCAAATTCCCACCAATAGCTGGAGACAATAAAATAAAATAATAAAAAAAATTCACTGTAAACTTTTTGTTATAATTTTGAAACCCAGTATTGTGGGGTATATCTTTTGAATCACGTGTGTTGT